GGTTATAATAAATAGCTAAGAACATTCTCCAAGTGGATCAAAACATAGGGCATCATTTATGAAGGATTCAAACAAAACCTCGTTTGCTTGAGGCCATTTATTATCGCTAATTTCCAAAGTCAATTCGAAACAACCCCCATGAATGTAGTTCCAATCTTGCATTCCACCATATATAGGGTACCTAACATAAGATCAAGTTTGGAAAGTCAATACTTAGGGTTAAACTAGTTACAGGAGTCGAGTATAATCTAGGACACAAAAGAAAATAGATCTGATATATCATACCACAGTGCCCCATTTGTTATCCCTCCTTCAAATTCTTGGCTCAGGGACATGTTATAGTGTGAACGACTATAGAGACTAGCCATATAGCGAAAAGTCTTATCATCAGGGCTTGCAGTATACTGTTTCCTGTGACCAATGAACAAAGACATTCTTGTTAAGCGTGATAGTAAAATATGTCAAAAAAATATGTAAATGATCAATTGCATGATAGAATTATTCATATGTATATTAGTATATACACATCATTGAAGTAATAGTGAAGTCTTAACATTTAGCGCCCACTGCAAACTAGTGCTTCACAAAAATACTACAGAAGAACTAGCTAGGTAAAAATAAAATGACATTGGAAGCTCTCAAAACGTAATTCCTTTCTCACTAGAGTCCAATTATATCACAATGTTGACAGAAAATAGAATATGAACTTGCAGCAACCACATGACCTTTTTTAACTTCCCAAAGATGCCAAACTACTAGTATTATACAAAAAAAACATGGGTTGAAATGAGAACTTCACATAAATCTGCAATAGGAACACAAACACAAAGTGGTAGAAAATTTAACAAAACTATAGTTTCAATGTCACAGAAAAGTGAGGAAGTTACTTTTGTGTCCCCACAGGGCAAACACTAGTGAGGCAATTATAAAGAATTTTATGCAACAGAGCCATATGACTAGAATAAAGCATCAGCTTTGAAACTAGCTATCAGTCTCAACTGGTTACGATAGGCATCCCCATCTTGATCAATTTGCATTCAGTATTCCTATTATTTTGCACATGGGGAGCAGAAAAAAAGGACATTATTAAACTGTAGAGTTAACAAAGGGATGGTTGTAGCACATCCTATGAGCTACAACCATGTAAAATTCAATAACATCAACAAGAAAAATGGTCACTAGTTCTTATTAACTAAGTTTAGTTTGAATAAAGATGAATATTTTATGTTATAGAAGCATGTATAGAACCAAGAACAGCTGCACCAGAGCGACATAGCGGCCACTAAAAAAATTACCGTGTATCTTGGGAGCCATCCCAAGGATAATTTGCAACAAGCGCACCCTGTAAAGATAGCCAAGGAGTTAGTGTCACACTGCCAACACATATATGTTGTATGAGATTCATAAGTGAAATGACCTGTAGCGGACAGGAATCAGAACTAGGAATTCTTTAATAACCCAACAACTTATATCAGCAATAAGTTTAATTAACAAAATTCGGTAATACTAATGTCAAAATTCTGAACATTTTGTTGTGCAATAGATGATAAAACAGAAGAAGCTGTTACCCCATGTAAACTTGCAGAGGCTGTGAAATGACCTTCCTTCACCCAAGTCATAATTGCTCTTGTTTCTGGTTGGCGGGAGTGCTTGATATCATTTATAGGATAAAACTGAGAGGATTTATGTTTGTCATGAAATATCATCAGCAATTATTTTTGTGCTAAATAGTTTCAGTGAGCAGATAAACGATATGTAACCTTTTAGTGCCATTTTGTCAACACGTAAGAAATATAAAACAGTGTTCATCATGATAATTCCAATTCTAATGCAACTACTCACTTGGTCAGGAAAATCTCGATTCAGGTCCACGTTATTTGCATTCCCGCGTCTCCTAAGAGCAAATCCATCAGGATTCATTGTTGGAAGAATATGCAGATGGACATGTTTAACAATTAGTGTTGCCTGCAAATAGAGAAAAACAGATTGGTTTACATAGCAAAAAAGTATTTGAATGTGTTAACACTGACATATAATAATAACTTTATTCCCCTTCTGCAGGTGTGGGCAAATATTTACCAAGGTATCCGTCATATAGTTGTCACATAACCAATTTGCAAGAAGCATCAGTAGCTCTCGTCCAACAGGTTCATCACCATGCACGTTACCGACGAACTACAATATCCATTAGGTGTCTCCTCAGCACATTAAGCGAGCCAAACTAGAAATTCACAAATACCACATGTAGACATAACATACTTTACAAGTAATGTACATATGATGTGGAAAGTTCTATCAGATTTGTTGCAATTTAAGCTCATACAAGCAACGAGCAATCTTGAAAGATTTCCCTACACCTCAGAAGAATCTAGAAGGAGAACACAAGCACTTCACGTAGAGTATTATTTATCTAAAAAGAATACATAAATGGCATAAATCACAAATCCTTTGTGCGGCAATTGCCCCATTTCTTTCTCTCTATATGACAAAGATTAGTGCACTGACAACCAGAGAATCAATCTAATCCAAATTGGGATAAGCCTTTAGCAGTTCAGATAAGACCAATTCCCAATACTAGAAAACCCAGAGTTAGGAGAACTAACTCCAGTGAGAAATTTTCAGGAACATGGCATGCAATAGTGACAGTACAAAAATCTTAAACAACTAAAGTTGTAGAACTCATTAATTCACATTGATGCAACTAAGTGAAGGCAACATATTGATGATCTAGGCTAAGATAATGGTTGAAATCAATTTTGAAGTTTTGAGTCAAACTGTCAGCTGATAACCTACGCTTACTCATCTATTAAGTTAAAGAGTGTGGACATAATCAACATGTATGACATGTTGAAGACAATTACATAAAGGAAAAAAAACAGTATTAAACAAAAAACACTTTATAAGTTAACTAATCACCTTAAATTTATAAGGAAGTTGAACTCTCTTGAGTAATGAAGAGCACCATAATTCGATATTTTATTACAAGCTGTAGCTCCATAAAGTGAAGTTTATAAAGGTTAGCTTGTGAAAGGGCTTAGGTTTGCTGATTGTAGCAATAGTTCTGAGTGGTCTCTGTTCCATTGATGCACCATATGGGATGTGCTAGGAATGATAACATACTTATAGTCTTATACTTGAACGTGATGACTCATTTGATCTATCGTCTAGCCCATACTGGAAAAGTGTTTAACCATGGTCAAGGGAGGATTCTGGCAGCATGGGTTGCTCCATGTTAGGAAGCTAATGCGAACATGGCCGAATACCAAGCATTGGTAGCAGGCGCGAGGAAGGCACAACTCTATAATGCATAATTTTTTTGAGGCTGAGGATGTCCGTTGGATGTGCAATTTGGTTATTTCTTGAGTTCAAAATCGTATGGTTTTTATTAGAAAAGAAGCTTGTGTGAGGGCTTCAATTAAGTTCAGATCAGTTTATCTCTTTTTTCAGAAGTGAAAATTGTTGAAGAGAAAGGTTAGAAGTCACTAACCTTAAATGAAGGTTCAGGCTCTTCTTGCCCAGGCTTGTCAGATATTTCAATTACCCACTATAGGCAAAAAAGAAGATGAATTTAATAGTTAATAGAAACACACTCTATAAAACAGAAAAAAAAGTGTAATAGAACACAACATGTTTCTTTCACTTGAAAAAGAAGTTTACCAATGGATAACCCTGTACACTCTTTCCAATGCTGAATCAGGTTTGAAGGATCCCTCAAAGAGAGAAGACAATGTAGGTCAGCATACGTAGGGGAAAACTCGCACATACGGTGAACTAACAAATCCAAGAACAAGACTACAGTAAAATGGTGCCATGACATTTAGGTTGAAGTTGTGATTTTAAATTTATCTCTGTAATATGCCAGCTGCTATACCATCTTATGCTATATGAACCCTCAAGAAAATCATCAGAAATTTGTCGTTTCATTAATGAAATCACAAAAGAGGAGCATCTAAACTTTATATCAAATTTACCTGTATATCCTGGAAATATTAGCACATCTTTTACTGAATTTCTTTACAGCCTCCTCAAGCTCGGAGTTGCTCATATACCCACGAGTCATTTCATCGCTGCAAGTTTGTTAAAACAGTAACAAAATGTTACATTTCTTAAATACATCCATCCTACCGAACGTAGTCACCAAATTCGATTACCACTCAATACATACGTTATCTCAGGATAGTTATCTTCAAACAGACGCCGGGCAAGGAGACCACCTCCACGGCCCATAAACCCTGCAAAACATACGCGTCACATGACGGCTCAGGTTTGGAGAACTCGTGCCTTTTGAACAAATTCTTGCTGCGAGAGATAAATTGACCGCCATAAAGAAGAGATAATCACACAACTCCGTTTTCTTTTGTTACATTAGTAACAAATCCTTAGTTCTTGATTCAGAAAATCAAAACTGTTAGTTATTTACTGCTCACTGGTAACGCCTAAAGTCAAAAAACCCCTAGCTATCTGCATAATGGTTCCATCTAACGAAACCGCAAATTGGAACCCTAGAAGCCCGACGACGGCCATGTCAATTTCAAGATTACCATCACTTGCATCGCTCACAAATCTATCGTGGCCCATTTGAGAAAAACAAATCGACGGCATCAAGAAATCAACAACGCAGTTCCACAAATTTCTCACCGGATGACTCGGTTCTGGCGGGTCAAGCGAAAAGAAACGGACTCGAGATGAAAATGTAGGAAGATTAGAGAACCTGGTGGAGGATGCGCGCCCAGGTCCCCGCCTCTAGCGATCGTGTTGGTGGGACATGAGAGAAGGGCAAGAAGAAGAAGGAAGAGGCGTTTCAAGACGAGGGAGACGAGCTCCATCGGTGGCCCGACCACCTGACTCTCTCGGCCTTAAGGCGTCTAAAAGGTCATGAGATCCCCTTCTTGCGCTGAAAAACATGAAAAACAAAAACACAGCTCGCCGGCACTCCACAAGAAAACAAAAACAAAACACGCGTCGCATTGACCATTACCCAAAAAGAGAGTTCACCGCTACTGTCACTGACTGACGAGACTGCAGGTGGAAGAGGATGAACGGTTTGAATAACCCGTTGACGAAAGAGGGGTTCCATCGGCCCCAAGCATCAGGTAGTGGCCTACCCATGATTCGATGAGATCACTCTCAATGGAGGAGTGAGAGCGACCGACCTCTCCTCGCGAACCATTCGTTATGTCTCGATAAGACCCTACAGTCTTATCTAAAACACTCTAATATCAAACGATAGAACCCTAAGGTTTATAGTAAAAGAAAATAGAAAAAAAAAAAAAGATCACTTCGAGAAGATCAGTCTCCTTGATCTTCTAGAATTTGTTGGAATAATATTTCATTAATTGATTGATTGATGAAAATGGTTACATCACTATTTATAGAGTTTAACTTTGAGTCTACTAAGAGTTGAGCTCTTAATAATGAATAAATATTAAATAAACTTCTATCGACTCTATCTGAACTAAACATACTCAATAAACATTATTCAAAGCTCATAAAATAAAAGGGTCCTAATAATTCCTCCCTCTTCAAATCAGTCTTGTCCTGAGCAGCATCAAACTCGGGAGCTTCTATTTCAATATTTTAATTATAAGCTATCTACAACGCATCACAACCCGTTAATCAAGTATAGTCTCCACTTTTTGATAGTGTAAGCAATGGATCTGTCTTTCAGTGTAACAAGCATCGTAAGAAACTGGCCCTATATAAGTAATAGGGTCTTATCAATCTCCCACTTGCCATGGCATGGATCAACGATACAACATTATTGCTCCATACGCAAGAGGAATCCGTAGCCGAGAGGATCTCGTCGTATTTTATCAATGATGTTAAAGATCCAACAAATGTATCATATTATCAAACAAATATTTTATAGAAGTAAAATCAAATTTTAGAATATTTTCATAAAGACTTATTAGATCCACAATAATATACATAAAATTTTACAATAATTATGAAACATATTAATATGAAAACATATGTGACGAATCTATCAGAATGTTTTCTAAATTAATCAGTGATTTGATCTTCCAATTGTATAGTATTCTTAAGAACTTTAGATTTCTTTTTGACGGATGAAGATAAATTTTATTTGATACTGTAATCGGGACCATAACACTATTTATATTCATAACTATATTTATAATTGATAAATCTATAATTATGCTTTAAGAGTTTTATATTCATAATTTATCTCATCATTAAATTAGAAATATGACTGATGTTATTCACATAATTAATTTTTATAATAATTATATCTTTTAGTCAAATAATTTTTTTAATTAGATCATTTTAATTTTAACTAAATAATAATTTAACATATTTAATAATACATGTGATTCTAACGACGAAAAGTCACGAGGGATCCTCTCAGGAGACCACACTTGACCACACGTAGAGCGAAGCACCAGCATCTACCTCTCCGTATCCTGGTCCTCTTGACTTGGGTTCATATGTTTGCATGCGGACATAGCCAGCCCATAGATTCGTATCGGCCGATGGGAGGCATCGGAGCTTCCCCTTGATGGGATTATCAGGTTATGATGGAAACATACACTGAGACTCACCGATGCCCACATCTGACTTTCTCCCAGCCAAGAGCACTCCTGTTGACATGCTTTGCTGGTTCATGATTCCACTGAGGTCTCTGGGTGCAATCATTGCTTCTTCCTGGTGGACCAACTAGTGTTATCCTGAAATGAATGTGTTCCATGCATTGCAGGTGAATCTGATGCTCTGGGCTTTCGAAGGGACATGGGGGGAAGAAGAAGATGATGATGATGATAAACACAATCCTAGGACCCTAAACGAAAGCTCAGAAGACTCTTCCGATGAATTTTGTGATGAACAGGAGCTACTATCGGTGCACACGACAACTGCCGGGTCAAGAAACTGATCGAACGGTTAGAAGAAGAAACGGATCGAACAGGAGCTACCCACCGCGTGATGAGGACGAATCCCAGCCTTCCTCCGATGTCACCTTCTTCTGGTAGCATGCATCCCGGCGTGGTGTCTTCAGAATTCAGCTCGTGCACTGTGCACACGACGAACTCTTCCGATGCATAAATGCGTCAATACGTGGTCGGGTGCAGTTTTCAGAATCTGTTCTTTGCTGTCTCGTGAGAACTATCAGCTGCAATCTTTGTGTGTGGGAAAAAGAATGCTATAACCTGCAGCAAGTGATTGAATATAATATATACATATATGTTCCCTTTTGCGAAAACTCATGTTGGTATGAGGATAAAAGGTGCTTTATTTGTGCAATCTCGAGAGCCAAAGGTCTCAACGCTTAAAGCGAGAAGCACCCACCCACCCACCCGCCCAACTAACCAAAGGAGCCTGCGATTGTGGCTGATACAGACTGCTACCCAACCGTTTTAAGGTCATCTTTGTTATATACAATTCGGCTATACTCGGGAAGATATTTTGTGGTGGACTCGCTCTTCGATAGCTCAGAATATCATACATCGGTTCGTTTAGGCCGAGAGCTGTCTTGTCTCACCAACATCACATAAATTGGGCATGTGCGATATAAGAGACCCGTGAGCCCAAGAAAATTTAGATTGGGCTATGCGGACGAAGTTTGGTAATTATCCCCGTACCCATAGATATTATATCATCATACATGTGATGGGGGATAAGATATCGAATCATTCTGTCAGGAGGGCAGCGTGTGCCCTTTTTTTTTGTTTTTTTCTATTTTCTTTTCTTTTTTAAGGAGCGTAGTTCGTGACTTTAGTTTAAAGCATCACGATAAGTCGATTCCTCTTGAATGTTAAGAAGGGGCAGCATAATGGAGTCGCCGCCGACTTTTAATTAATCATCGTAATGTAATTTCATGATTAACATGTTGACGACCTCGGCATCGGCCTAACGAAGAACGTTAAATCATAGTAAAATGATGAATTTTCTTTTCTTTGCTAATAAGAAATTAATTGACAGTCAAGAGGGAGGAATTGGAGCGAGGACTGTGGCAACCACCATGAAGGCAATGGTGTCATTTCACCGGTCTTGTGTTGTCGTCACCCCTGGGTCTCTCTGCTAATGCGATCCCACCATCCGAACAGTGCTTCGCATGCATGCGTGCATGGACCACCCGGTTTTCCCATCCCCTGCGAGATGACGTGATGCTTTGGGCCCCGCCGCTCGTGGGCCATCGTGGCGGAACAAATCAGTCACGTCCCTTGAGTCCGAAGAAATATATTCCTCTCACCTGGTGATGCCACATCACCCCCGCATCGCTGAAATCCTTAGAGACCCTCCCATTGGCTGCCAAGTCGTACCAATAATTCTCCGTCACCGGCTCGTGCCGGTCACAACGACGCAAAATATCTAATTCCCTCGACCACTCTTTCTGGACACGTCTCTCTCTCTCTCTCTCTGGGGCAGCTGCCCGTTTGAGGAAGCGGTGGCTTTTTGGCGAGGGATCCTTCGCTCCGCGCCACACCCTTGGGGGGTTCGGGCAGGTCATCTTGACCGTCCGCGTCGGCGAGGGTTTACCGTCAACCGGCGCGGCTTGCTCGATTCGTGGTCGGTCTGTTTCGGTGATTTGATTGGCCGATCTACCACGGACGAAGGAAAACACGGAAGACATGGCTAAGGAGGAGGCCACGTAGCTGTTCCTGCGACGTCCAAACGGATGCCGTGGAAGCCACTGGCACCATCTTTGGATGCTACTTCTCGCAGGAATTGCTTTTGCTGCATTTTTTTTTTAAAGATGAACAAACACCTTTCAATAATAATAATAATAATAAATAAAAACGTACTCAGATAATAGAAAGTTTGTTGAAATTTTTTTATATTTATTTATTTTATCTAAATGAGAGCCTAAGCGAATGAAATCAATAATAGTAATAATAATAAGAATAATAATTAATAAATGATAAATTGTTAATGCAAGAAAAGTCACTAGAAAGTCGCCATTAATCCTTGATATTTAATCGTCAAGGGTTGCTGGAGGCTGCTAGTTTGTATAATACAGGTTTAATTAGCGCTTTTATATGGGGCATGAAGGCACCATGGAGTGTAGTCGTGACTGATGGCATGACACCCGTGACTCCCTTGGCTTTGGCCAGGCTGGATTCAGTGCATGTGATGGCATGGGGGCAATTTTGTCATGCTGAGGAAAAAACACCCAAGACATGGATCATCCGGCCGCGTCCATGGATGATGCGGCATGGGAATGCGTGACGCATGCATGAGGCATGAAGCATGGCCATGTCCACCGGCAATCGCCGAGGGATGCACAAAAATATCAAGGCCACGTCAGCGTTGGAGATCAGGAGAGGGAAGGGCAGCCTCCAGCTTAAGCACCACCGCATTGCAAAGTATCTTTCCCTACTCTCTTCTTTTGCCGGCTTCTTGTTTTCCCCCTCCTTAAAGACGAAGAAGAGAGAACCGATTAATAATCTTCTCTCTCTCTCCCTCTCTCAAGATTCCTCCTCTCTTCTCCTTGTTCTCGAAAATTTTTTTTTTCCTCCATACCTTTCTTCCTAGCTCTCATCTCCCTCCAACCATTCAGCGAACCCACGTAGAGCTTCCACCGATCTTTGGATCCAAGGAGCCATCGCGGTAGTGTTTCTTTCGCTCTTTCTTTTTTCTCCATTTAAAAGGTTTATGATGTTCTCGATACAAATTTATCTTCGATTAGAATTTCTTGTTGTTGTTGTTTTTTTTTTTTGGTATACTTTATGGTTAAGTAAGATCGATCGAACGTGTAGTTCATTCGGACCGCTTTCTTGATTTTTTTTGTGCGCTCTCTTTTACTTGTGTTTTACACAGATACGGCGGTTGTCTATTTGAAATCCTTGCGTATGCTTGCTAAATTTTGGTTTGGCGGACTCTAAACTTCGGATCCGATGAATCAATGCGATCATGTTGCTTCCCTTCCATTTTATCCGCCTACTTCTAAGGATCTTTCTCAAATAAAATAAAGTTTCTAGTTCTCGCTGTTTTTGATATATTTTTCTTCTTCCTCTTTCTGTCAGAGTGTTGGATATTGAACCGAGGGGAATGAAATGATCAATTCCTTAGAATCTCATTTCTTGATTTTTTCCTATATTTGCTTTTACACATATAATGAAGGTAATTTAGCCTTGTGATTATTTCTTGTGTAGATATTTGGAGATTGGTGCGTTTGAGCTTGTTCCAGATATTTGCTAGATTTTTGTTGGTCTAGAACCGCCTGAGCAGGATCGACGGATTACATGTGGATGATAGTCCCAGTTGATCTGAGCAAAACTTGAGTTGGATGAACTCTGTTGGTTTGACAGATTGATATCGGATGTGGATACGAGTTGATGCACATGTTAGGTTTCATTTGGTTCTATAGATGAACTGGCATCTGAACTGGGCTATGCTAGTTAATGCATGCTCTGATTCTTGGTAGAGAAGGACGAAATTTCTGCATCTCAAATTAATTTGCCGGCTTGTGGAGGTGAGTCTGTGACAAGGGGGGCAGAGTAGGGGCTCGGAATGT